ATTCTAAAGATAACATGATCCACCTACTTAGAAGATAGCTAAATTATTATAATGCTCTAGTTAACACATAGAAGGAATAAAAGAAAAGTAACTCATAATAAAAATAATATGCATATCAACATTTTAAGTGCTCTAGAAACTCTACATAAGAAGGGATAATAATAGTAGTCAGTTACTTAGTCCTGTACATAAAATCACCATGGATTCAACAGCTACAAATGCAGGCTGATGCAGATGTGCTTATTGGTGACTCAACTTTCATGGGCAGTGATACCATCAGTGATGAGATTTTTTTTCATAGGGTAAACCATTCTTGGTAATTATATAAACCACTCTTGCTTATTAATATTTTGAACAACATAAAGTACAAAATCCCTTCCGTTTACATGGTAGTCAGATTGCTAGAAAATTCTGTGTATGTTCAAATGATGCCAAAAGTACTTTGAGAGTATTTGTTAAACACATCTAAATTCTAATCCCATATAATTATAAACAGAGTTTTCAACTACATGAATAGCTGGTGGAATGTTTGCAAACGATGTGGGGGGCACCTGGGTGTCTCAGTCGGTTAAGCATCTGCCTTTGGCTTAGGTCATGATCCCAGTGTCCTGGCATTGAGCCCCATGTGGGGTTCCCTGTTCAGTGGAGCGAGTCTGCTTGCTTCTCCCTCTCTCTCTGCCTCCCCACCCCCCAGCTCGCTCTCTCAAATAAATAAATAAAATCTTTAAAACAAAGAAAGGGAAGGAAGGAGGGAGGGAAAGAGGGAGGAAGGAAGATGTATGGGGTGCAAGACAGTTCATTGTGCTCTACTGCCTTGCAAATTGCAGGATTTCCAGCTTCCCTGGCCTTCTTCTAAATGCCAATAGTTCTTACCAACCATCCTGACCACCAAAAATATCACTACAAATTTCCTAAATGCCCCAGAAGCCACTACCATGCCCATTAAGAATCACTTATTCAGGGGCGCCTGGGTGGCTCAGTAGGTTAAGCCGCTGCCTTCGGCTCAGGTCATGATCTCAGGGTCCTGGGATCGAGTCCCGCATCGGGCTCTCTGCTCAGCAGGGAGCCTGCTTCCCTCTCTCTCTCTCTCTCTCTCTCTCTCTTTCTGCCTGCCTCTCCGTCTACTTGTGATCTCTCTCTCTCTGTCAAATAAATAAATAAAATCTTTAAAAAAAAAAAAGAATCACTTATTGAGACTGAACAAAGGCACTTTTTTGTAATGAAACACTGAGACCCTGTACTTTTTATTTTGATACTGAATTGATTCCATGGATTAGGAAACTGAATTTGCCCCCAAAGTGAATTACCCAGAAAGAGCAAGACTGCCAATCTCAGAAAGATACAAAAATCTTCCCCTGTGAACATGGCGGGTATTTAATATGGGAAACCCTTTACTCCTATATGGGAACCTCTCTAGATTAAGAAAGTGGGGGTCTGAAAGTGAAAACAAGTCCATGGTCCCTAAAAAGAGGAGCTTTTGATTAGGGTAAAGTTGTCCTAAAGGAAAAACTAAAAATCATGTTTATATCCTTCAAGTAACATGGTTAGTTTTGTTATTTTGAATGATTTTCCATATTACCTACACATCATTGCAGTTTATCAATAAATGGATGCTTTTTTGACTAGCCTGAATTTTCCACTTTTATGGGCTAGTGCTTCTGTCCTGATGGAATCATTTCTCCTTAAGTGGTGTATTTTTTAACTACTAGAAAGCTGCTCTCAAAAGTTTCCATAATCTAAGCATTGCTATGGGTAGATATTCATATTAATTTGTAAATATTTTCATTGAACTTTGGCTCTGACTTTTTGAAAAGGATCTCCAGACATGTTCTTGAAATGTATATATGTAGCCCCAGGTGGATATGCAATTACCTAACTTCCAACTGCTATTTTAATAAAATTATTAAAAACCCATTTAAAGGGTGCCTGGGTGGCTCAGTGGGTTAAGCCTTTGCCTTCGGCTCAGGTCATGATCTCAGGGTCCTGGGATAGAGCCCCACATCTGGCTCTCCGCTCAGCAGGGAGCCTGCTTCCCTCTCTCTCTCTCTCTCTCTCTCTCTCTGCCTGCCTCTCTGCCTACTTGTGATCTCTGTCAAATAAATAAATAAAATCTTTAAAAAAAAACTTATTTCAAAAAATTCTAAAAAGAAAGCCATTTTTTGTATAAAATATGCACTTTACTACTCCTTAGTTTAGGAAGAATTCTCCTACCCCTACTAGGTTCTCTGTAGTTCAGTTTCTAACCCACTTTGCTTATTACCTTTACTCCCACCAATTTCCCTCCCTCTGACAGAGCACACATTCTCATTATTTATACTCTTAAATTGCAGGGGTAAATGTTGAGAGCCAGTGCAGGTACTCAGTTATCTCAGGGACTTTGGTCTTTTCAACCCAGGACTAATCAAGCAGAGAGTCATCATAAGCTAAATCTAAAAAGCTTTTGTAGTGATTTTATCACCAGGGAAATTTGTTCATCCTTCAGAAAGATTGTCACCAGGAAAGAAAAAAATAAAGGAGTTAAAATTGCTTCAGACCATTGACTCCTTAGGTCCCTCTAGATTCCTAGATTGAATTGGTTTTCAAGGGGTGGGAGGAATTATGAGAAGAATTCCCTGAGAAAGCTTACAAATTGATCATAGCCTTGGTAACACTAGTAAGTGTAAGTGTGATCACTATGGAGGAAATGCCCAATCAGTCTGGAAGCATGGGAAATGAGAAAGGAAAAGAAGACAATTAACACCTTTTTTTTTTCTTTCTTTCTTTCTTTTCTTATTGTTTTTGGGGATGTGTGCTGCCATGTAGTATGCATCTGAGAATAGTCTTTCAAAAGGAAGAAATACAATTGGTTTTGAAGTATCTTATTATTATAAGTGCAATTAGTTATTGAAATGAAACTAGATTTGCAAGCACCATAGAAATAGGAACAGGAATTTCATAAACCTATCTAGAAACTAGGCCCCTTTCAAATATACCCAAAGTAGGTTTGTCTGAGCATATCTAGAAGTGCTTACTTGGGCTTGGAGAATATAAATGCCTCCAAATTCAAAAGAATTCTTTAAGATTGTCAAATGAATAAATCAGTGAAAAATATAGTAATAAATACCTGGGTGTTACATATATTTTAAAGAATTTGAAAGTTTGCACACTTATTGATGAGGGCAGGCATATATCTATCTATCTATATATATATAGATATAGATATCTATATATATATAATTTTCCCCCCAAAATTCTGTGAAGACTTGTCAAAATCAAGTCAGGAACTTTAGAATTTGCCAGGATAAACCTATATTAATCTCTCTTTCCCAATGAGTAACATTGAAATTTACCCAAAATGGGTAAGCAAATGACCTCATTTTTTAATCTGAATACAGTAGTGTTGGAGGATATTTCTCAAGGATATGACTTCAACACTAGATCGTAGTTCCCAGGGCAGGTTCATAAGGCCAAATTGCAGAGGAGAAGAGGATAGAAAGCATCCTTGTGAGGGTACCCATTAAGAGACGAGTTCTCTGGTAGGGCCAGCTCCCACATCTTAGTCCCATGCACAGACTGTAGCTTTCTGCTCTCTGGTCGACTGCAGCCATAGCATCCTTATTGTTGTAACTCCCAGATTGTGATACTGTCACAAAACTGTTGCTAGGCAACAAATGTGGTTACCAGGTCTCAGCGAATAGCTGAAGGGGAAAGCAAAGTGTTGCACCATTGTAGAGTAACCATAGCAATGACCTACTATTACAGACTAAAGAATTATCATTAACAATGTTAAAGTATCAGACAGAGGCCCTGAATCCCAAGACTTCCAGGCAGTATCTCTCTGCATAATTGAGTGATCTAGGAAGTGATTTCAACTGTTTCAAAGCTATTCACTCATTATTTCTATGGTAGAGTCTTCATTATTATTTTTATTTTTTAATTAAAAAATTGTTATGAAGAGACTGGCAAAATATGTTATCACAAGGAGTCGAAACCGATTAATATCCTCATCTGTTCTTATGACTACATCACTGTTTTTTTGTTTGAGTTTTTTTTGTTTGTTTGCTTGTTTTGTTTTTTGCCTGTGTTAAACTGAAGGGAGGTTTGACTTGAAAAGCACTGTACATCAACAGAAAGAAGCTGGGGTAAAATAAAATAACCCTGTAAAGTGACAAACTAAACCTGTATTTTCTAAGTTGAATTCCTCCTGACAAAATAGGAGGCCTAGATGCTCTTTTTGTACTCACTGCTTGGAAAGACTTTTTTAGCTTTTCTAAAACTGGCCCCTCAAATCTTTTAAAATGTAGCCTCCTAGGACAATTTTCTAGGCACAGTCTCTTTTTAAAAAAATCTGAACCTTCCTGAAGCATCCCATATAATTTGGTCGCGGTGACCTCGCTGAGACAAATTATGTCTAACGGCACAGCTTCCGAGAGAGGCAAGAAAAATCCGATTTGTTTTATTCACTTGGGAAGCGGAGAAACGTGGGTGCTCCGGGATGGTGAAGACGCCGGATTCCGCGCGCAGGGGAAACCAATCCCCGCGCGCGCGCGCGAAGCCTGGGGAAGTGGGTGGTTTCGAAGCGGGAGAGGGAGTGGCCCTTCCCTCCGAGCGCCTCGATTGGCCCGGAGGGGCTGAGGCCCTGGGGCCGCCTGGCCGCGCCTCGGGCACCCTGCGGGGGGTGTCCCAGCCGCGTCCTCCCCGTTAGGGGCGGGAAGGGGCCTCGGGCGGGAGGCGGTGGAGGTCTCCGGCGGGCCGCCCCGGGGGCCGCGGGCGGAGATCCGCAGTGAGCGGACGTAGACAGCCCTCGGCCGCGGAGGCAGAGTGAACCCTCGGGCATAGGTGTGGCCTGGAGGGGCCGCGCCCGGGGGGCCTGCAGACGCGCGCCGGCGTCGGAGCCGGCGCGGGAGCGCGGGGAACGCGGGCTCCGAGGGCGGGGCTCGGGCTCCCGGGGAGGAAGGCGGGCGGCCTGTGCCTTGGCACCGAGCGATGCCACCTCGTAACCGAATCTGTGTGTTTTGCAGGCACCGACCGTCACGAGCTAACTTCCTGGAAGAGCTTCCCGTCCATTTTCAAATTCTTTACCGAAGCCTCTGAGGCAAAGACCAGTTCCCTCAAGCCGGCTCTGACGCGGCGCTCCCACAGAATAAAGCACGAAGAGCTGTAAGAGGAGAACGAGCGAGACGGGGGAGGGGAAGCCAAGGCACCACACTCGAGCATGCATCCACACGTCTCCTAACTGCTTGTTGTCGGCGAGCAGACTCCCAGCCCCTCATTAGATTGTTTTCTTCCTAGAGCACAGGGTCGTGATATATACATCTAAATAGCGTTTTGCATTATTTCTAGATGAGTGCAACTGTCAAAGCAATATGGGTTCACTGGTCGTGCTTCCTGCGGGCTGAGCTCGGGCTTCGCGCTGCCCGTCAGCGCGCAGATTAAGGCTGACAGCGCCCTGCTCGGCGCGGCCGGCGCGCCTCTAATTGCCCTGACGGAGCCCGCGCCGGCGCTGCGGGGAGAGCGGCGTCTGCGCGGTCCTACCGCCCGCTGCAGCGCAGCCGCCGCTTGCACCGGCCCCAGGCCCCCCTCGATCATGTCCGGTTTTTTCCTCCGAACAGAAGCAAACTTTTATTCTAGATTTCATACATTTTAGGTTTTCGGCGAAGAGCTTCTTACGCCTCTTTTTTTTTTTTCCCCCTAATTAAAAGGAAGTTCCCCACAAACCTCCTCAGAAAAGCCAAATTTAAATTCAGAACGTGAATGCCGTGATGTACTATGTCGCCTTGGGAGTGCAAATTGTTCGCTAACAATCTATTTTCATTTCAAGACCAAAAGAAAAACTTTGCATAAAAAATCTATAAAGTACCCATTACACATTACCGCTGAAAACCCTTGCCATTTGAATACGAGATTTTACACAAGTCTCTAATTTCAGAAGAGATGTTTAAACCAAAACGTAATGATGAGCAAATCTTTTAAGGGTGAAAGGTCCCCTTTCCAATAGAATTTCCAACTTTATCATTAGAATTGACTTTACTTTTTAAATGTATAATGTGTATTGAGTGGCATTGTAATTCAGATCGCACACTTGTTTTGCTTTTTAAATCCTAATGTGGAGAAAGTTTGTTGTTGTTGTTCATAATCCTAACTAGAATGACTGTCCTGAGCTTTCCTGGAGTTAGACCCTGTTAGGGATAGTATTTATTGCCCTCAGGAAGATGAACCTGTGTGCTGTTCCACCTTTTCCTTCTGAGAGGCCAAGTGGGGCTAAAATGATTCTTCTAGGTTTCTGCTCCCACAGAAAGGGAAAGAAAGACCTGGTGTGAAAGATTTTCTTCTCTCAGTACAGTGGCATAATTTTTAGTAGTCCATTTCCTCTCTAGGGTTTTGCCCTACAGTTTCTACAGTTACTTTAATCCTGCTAATATCTGGCCAACACTGTGAAATACAAGAGGTAAAATAAGTTAAGATTTTGCTGACTTTTCAATTCAAATATTAAATCTTAACATTATCAGTTTTTAATTACTTGAATTTAATTACCTAGTAAAGATTCTGTTTCTAGCAGATGGGGGTCTGAATTTAATATTTTTTCATCCTTTTTTAAAGTATATGCAACAATATGCCTGCCTTATTTGAGGACATGATAAAATGTACCCAAAATGACTTAGAACTGTCTGACTTCTCAGAAAAAATAACTTAAAATAACCACCTCATGGATAAAATGTTTTTATATTATGAACCGATTTCAGCAAGTTTTAAAACTGGTAATATCTGTGTTTGGTATATAAGTACATTAATTTGTTCTTATAGTTTTAATGATGGCAAATTAAAGTGATCTTTTTTCAGTGGTCATATATACATATCTTTTGATATTATTTTAGCAGAAACAACACAGGAAAAATCAAAACGTCATTTTATCCACACCTGGATAATTTAATATGTGTAACTCCAACAATGTCAAGCATGTTGGTCTGCAATCTTTTCTGTTTTAGAAGTAAAGGTGAACTGTATACAATAATGATACCTTCCTTTGAGAGGATTTGAAAATTGATGTGGATTGAATATATTTTTCAAAGTGTTATAAATTGTGTGGTGTTTTGACTATATGAAAGTATTCGCAGGAAAACTAATTTTATTGCTTTTTTCTACCCAGCACTTGTGCAGTGCTAAATTTATGACGCTTATGCACCTGAATTAGAGCAAAGTAAATAGGCTCAGCTTAGACACCAAATCACTCCTATTCCTTCTCTTCGGTTTTCTCACTTCTCCTTTTGAAAACCTTTCCTTGCAACTAGAGTGAATCACTGTTTAATTGCCTTTAATACTTTAAAACTACTGGGTTGTTAGCCTTGTTTAAACATCTATAGAGGGCTATTTGCAAACTTAAGTTGTGCAAATGTAATTTCTACTTGTGGGTCTGAGCTGCAGCCCGGAGAGAGCTAGGCAAACCATCCGAGACCGCCAACTGATAAGTGATAAGATTCCTCGTAATGTACGATTTTTTTTTTAACCTGTTGATTATGTGTCTGTTGGTATAAATGTAGTAAAATCCTCCACATCAATTTTCCTGGAGTAACAACAATCAGTTGGTAGGAGCCCGCCTGCTTGGAGGTGACAAGTGTTAGCAGTATTTCTGCTCTGATCTTCTAACCATTTTGGTTTCTTTAGACAGGTTTTTAGGAGAGTAGAGGCTTAAAGTTAGGATTTAGACTTTTTAAAAAATTATATACTCAGTTCTTAGAGCAAATGGAATGGGAAGCAAGGAGTTGTTGATAAATCTGAGATTCAAAATACTGGCTTTCGAACTTTATAAAGGTATCTAAACATGCAGCCGTTAAAAGTTTTCACGGATATTTGAAGGGGGGGAAATCTATTTGTAATAATTGTTGTTTTCTCAAGTTTCTGCCTTGTGCTTCGACCTAGATTGCATAATTGTTTATACAAAAAGAAAAAAAAAGTAAAGCACAGGAGTTTCATATATATTATATATTTCTGTTTACCATTTTAAAATAAAAACAATTTTCCCAACAAGCAGCGGCGTATTATTCTTGCTCAGAGGTTCATTTATTTGTGTACAGTACAGAGGTTAATAAAAGCAGAAACTTAAAAAGAATGATGGAACAGCATTCATCAGTATTTTAAACCGTATAGTTGCTTTTATTACTATTATTGTTGCTTTAAGGTAACATCCTAACTTCACTTGAACACTTACTGTTTGGCTTGGACCTTTCACAAAGCCAACATTTTTTTTTTAAGCAACATTTTTTTAAGGTGTTTGTTTTTAATATCTGAAATATCCTTAGCTACAGAGAAATTTGAACCCATTGTTAAGCTATGATTTTATAAAATACGCTTTAATATACTGTAAAGAAATGTGCTTTCCAAAGCAATCTGGTGACATTACATTGCTCCCAAGTCCCTGTATAGGTCCTTGATGTATTACATCTAATCTGAAAATACCGTGTTTACATTTATTTTACAGCTTTTCCTTCTTAACTCCTTTGAGAGAGTTTGGATGACAAAATATGTTAACTATATTATCAGGGCTAATAAGTTAAATTTTTTCACATGTTTCTCTGGATTACCTGGAGTCCCAATCCAAACACATGAGTGTCTCCTGTTAAATCATAGTTTATAACTGTAAACTGACAGGTTCCTGTGATTCATTTAAGAAAGATTACTATCACAGAAAGTCTAAAAATTACTCAAAAACTTTCCCCATGCTTCTATAGGGGAAAATGTCTTTAAATAAATGTGGGACATTCTCATCTTTGAAATATGGGTGGCAAAAAAAAAGGGGGGATAATAGTGGTGGTTATTTTATGATTACTTATTAGGGGCTGTAATAATATAAAATAAAAGACTCCAGGAGGTACTCCCTTTCAAAAATTGAATACTTTCCTTCCTTCCTTCCTTGTATAGAGTGACTGAGTGGGAGTCTCTTGAATTGTTCGTCTTCCTTTTATCTAATATTCTATTAATCTCCAAAAAGATCAGTTTGAGTCTGGGAAAGGGTTTTTAATCAACACTTCACAGAGCTTAAAGCTACCCTACCTAAAGCGTCAGCTTTGTTAGGCGGTTTTAGATTTAAAGCATTGCAACTGTCATGCACTGTACTAAAAGTAAAGAATGTACACCAAGTGGAAGATGTTGAAAAGAGGGAAATAGCACAAAGTCGATTAACGGAGATTCGAGAATAGAAGTAGCCATCAAAGCATTCCAACGTTTATCTTGAAATCTATGTAGAGTTAAAAAAAAAAAAAAAGCAACAATGATAGTTTTAAACCTCACACTTAGGAGGGATGAATGTTGATTTAATTGATTCATTTGGATCAATGTTTTTAAAGTTTCACACCACTGATCTTTCATGTAGTGATGTCTTTAGCAGTCAGTGGTCTGACATGAGCCTTCTCAGATTTCATCAGTGGGGCTCTCCATGACATCTAAAATTATGCAACAGCCTATGCAGTGGTAACTTTGGAATTGGGAGACCTCGATGCCAAAGAGCATGGTTAGATTGAAGAACTCTTGTTAATTCTTAGCACAAAGGTTTTAGAGAGTGGTAATTGTAAATGAACCATAAAGGTTAAAGTCACCAAATATTATATAGTGGGCTTTAATTGCTAGATTGGAGAAAGTCGTCCTGAAAGTTTGACCATTAAGTGGATACCATGCAGAGACCAGTATTTTTCCCTTCAATGTAAAAACTTGAAAATGGAAATTTGACTTAATCCATGAGGCCTTCCAGGCAACTTTTCCCGGCCCTTTGCCTTGAGATTTATGAACAGCATTTCAGTATATTCTTTGTATTGTTGGGTTGAGTTCTGTTTGAACCAGAGATGAAACATGTTTCTAGAAAGAAATCCAGGGAGGACCTGCATCTTTCTTTCTAGATCATTCAGCTTTTCTTCCTTGGCCATTACATAGGGTAATATGGGAGACTGTCATAGGTAAAATAATGTTGAACTGTACTTTGTAACCAGCCTGCAGTACCAATACAAAGAATCTGAAATGAAAAGACAACCAACACCCCAAGAATGATATGTCTCTTTTTAAAGTTTACAATTTGAATAATGAACTTGGATAGAAACTTGGCAGGAAAACAAACCATGGCACCATCACATCACCAACCATTTTCACTTTTCTGTCCAATTTCAGAGTGCATGTGTTTGTGAGTATTTCACTAGATCAGTGACAGCTCTTTA